GTGGTAGTGGTAGTGGCGGTAGTGGTAGTGGTAGTGGTAGTAGTAGTAGTAGTAGTAGTAGTAGTAGTAGTAGTAGTGGTGCTGCTACTACTACTACTACTACTACTACTACTACTAGTACTACTACTACTACTACTACTACTACTACTACTACTACTAGTTAGTAGTGCCAGTAGTATTAGTCGTACGTTGATGCCCGAAACCTCGCATCACTTTGAGCCACCCACGGCTCCCCTGCTACCGCTAATTTAAATGTTGCACTGATGCAGGGGCTAAAACCAAGTATTGCGCAAATGCCCAAAATCCTGCATTACCCCATGGGGATGCAACATGAAACTAAGGGGGTGCGGGGAAATGGATCACGCGACATGGGATATGTGCGATGACAATGATACCAACAATACTAATTCTAATAACAATAACCATGAGAAGCAGAAGAAGAAGCGGAGCTGCCCGACTGAGGCATGTGCGAAGTCGGTTCGTACCGGCACTTTGTGCCTTTTAGGGTTCAGGGTCTATAGGGAGCCGAAGGACGAGAGAAGAGGAAGTTGCTTCAGAATTTGCGCCGGAGGTTTTGCACTTCTTCAATCCTCTTAACTATGTCCACAATCAACAAAGCGAGCGAGAGAGACAGAGAGAGAATGCGGTTCAATGAAATTTCGATCTATCTACCTATCTATCTATCTATCTATCTATCTATCTATCTATCTCTGCCCATCTATCTGTCGATCCATCTTTCTCTCTCTCTATCTATATATAGCGAAGATGGGTATGCGAAACTGACTGCAACCATATACTGCTAGGATTGCGCAGGTGTGCATATCAGCTGCCGCGTTGCTGGGAGCAAAGCGGCTCAAGCATTAGACGACAGTGCCTGGTGGCAGCAGCCGTGGCGCTGAAGCCGCCATGAGGGTAGTGGGAGACTCTCGATGAACGGCTTCTCGCGGCGCAGCCTCCTGAAGAGGCAAGCGGCACCAGCTTAGCCCAGAAACTCGGTTTTCGGCAAGATGGCTCATTTTAGCCACTGGCTAGTCCAGGTCCTGGGCCGCGAGTTCCTGCAGGCAAGTTGCTCGGCTAACTCAGCTTGCTGGGTGATCTGCACCACAAGCATTCTCGACAGCGGAATCTGACTGGAATCTGGTTTGCGAGAAGGCCGCAGGATTGTCATTGTTGTCAGAATGATTCGTTGCCCGCAAATGAACCACTGGCCTCAAAATCTACTTCGAGACTTGCTCAAATACCAAGTCTGACTGCTGGCACTCGACTTGCCCGGGACAACAACAGACAAGGCCAGTATTAATTTCAGAGACACGTGCTCGCAGGTTCTGTTATCGAGGCAATCGCCGAGTCTCTCTGTGCAGCGAGAGATAGTCCGAAGATGCGATGTCACGCGCCGCCCATAGCTGAACTTGTTTGAACCTTCCCCGGCATACCCGGGCAGCAGCTTCGCCTTTGTCCGCTGAGTCCGAAAGTCCTTGTTTTGCTTTTTCACCTGCAAACATCGTGGGTGCATCCAAACAAGCCCTCAAAACGAGGCAGGAAACGCTGTGCCAGCAGACGACAAGCCCTTCAGCCCCCTTTCGAAACTTGATGAACTGCTTGTCCATGCTCTACGAGCAGAGCCCTGAGCGCATCAAAAGGCCCGAAATTTCACGGCCCTAAACATAGCTAACCCCAAACCACGGAAGGCTAAATTTGGGCCTGTTCTCCGAAACTCCGAAAGCCCTTAGTCAAGGAGTACACGTTAAATTATAAGCTGAATTAAGATCCCCAGTACGGAATATAGAATTATAGCGGGATCCATATACTATGATTTCAGGTACCTAAACCCTAGACAGTAAAGGTTTGTCCCTGGGGGGTTTCATGGAAGCTGCTTTGTGTTCAGGACTTAGGAGGTTGGATTTCGGAGCTACATTTGGAAATTGGGTGAAGCTGGGGGGGTGGGGGTGGGGGGGGGGGGGTGGCTGATGACGACATGATGATCACGACAGGACGATTGTGATGTGATCATGCCGAGATGATGACGATGGCGACATGATGATGACGAGATTATAACGATGATGATGATGATATTGATGATGATGTTGACGTTGAAATACAACGACTGTTGGGATTCGGCGATTTAATCGAGGTGCACGAAGTACTACACATATCATCTAACTTGCCTCACTGCTGCGAATCCTGCATGAAACTCAGGGCTTTCGTGATGTAATGAAGTACTACTCCGCACTCGCACAAGACAAAATCCCAAGATTTTGCATGTTTTGTTTCCGTCCTCACCACAAGAAATCCAGAACTCTGAAACGAAACACAACAACAACCGCGACTCTGGGGATTCTGTGTTTTTATCGAAGTGTGCGACATGTGAATTCGCTCACATGAAACACCGGGTTTTCTCATGTTTTCAAGAAGTACCCCGCACTCGCACAAGACGAAACCCTCGAGTTTTTGTATGTTGTCGTTGTCCTAATGATGCCAAAACCTTGCTTTGCAACATCTGCCCGCGCGTACTTCCAAGCCACAAGTACGCGCGAAAACAACATGTTCCGAAGAATGTTAGACTTCCCCAGTGTCTCCGGGAAACCCCCAGGGACACGCCACCCTAAAGCACCACAAACCCTAAACCCTAAACCCTAAACCCTAAAGCTTTGTTGGGGGGTGCTTGGGAGTCTCTCGGTCCCTGACCTCCACGAGCTGGGCTTCGAGTTCAGCTTTCGATTGCTTCAGCTCTGCCAACCTCGTGCTTTGAGGATGTCGATCGCCAGACTCTGCAAAGTCTGCAAGTGCCCGGCTCTTGCCGAATCAGCACCGATTCGCTTTTTGGCCTTGCGCGTAGCAATGCGACGCTACATCTTGGTGAAATTTCCGTGGTCCCCCGACCGCCACTCGCGACCGACCAAAGACTGAGCTGCGAACGCTCCACCTTTCGGAGGCACCGGTAGAGGCGCCTGGACCGAGCGCAGCCCACTCGTGCCGCGAAGGGAAATCTCGGAGACACAATGGAAGTAAGGTGCTACTGGACTCGCTACATGTGGTCTCCACCTGCGAGACTGTTACAGATAATCGGGCTCGAAGAATCCAAAAGGTAGTAACAAAAATCATGCGCATGTCTGGCCTTAGGCGCGTCCATGCCGAACCTGACAGAGTCGGGTCTTGACTCTGACATTAAACCCTAAAGCCCTAAGTCCCTGCATACTGCAAGACCGGTCTGCACCTCTCCGATGGGCCCTTTCCGGCGCCCTTTGGTGTGCGACCATCGCCCTGCAACGACGCGACTTCCTAAACCCTAAACCCTAAACCCCAAAACCCTAAACCCTTTTTTGGCAGCAGCACTGGCTCGCGAGCGCGGGGCTTTGCCTGTGGGTATCCCATGGGACTCGGCCTCAGAAGCAGAACGTTATGGTATATGTCATATAGATAGATAGTATATTTATGTAGTATATATAGTGTATACAGTGTATATTTATATATAGTATATAGATATAGCGAGTACGCATGCATGTATGTGTGTATGTATATGTATACGTGCATGTATAGGATATATATTGGTGTACATATGTAGTATGTAGTATATGTACATATAGTATTTATATATATATATATAGTAGTTTCGTATGTATAACATACATGAGCACATATAACATATATACAGTGTCGAATATTACATAGATGTCTATCTATCTATATATATCTATCTATCTATCTATCTATCTATCTATCTATCTATATGTAGATATGCATTCATTACCACCCTCGACGCTGGCACGTAACGACAGCCTGGTCTCCCGAAGATGTTCATGAGTAAGGCAGAGTTCTTCTTTGTGGACACCAACAAGGTGGATACTTACGGCAATCCGGATGCCGACCCGGAACACAATATTTGTGCTCGATCCCACAATCAGCCGCCTCAGCCCCTGGGATGCAACGGCACATCGATGTCGAGCCCAGACACCTGCTGGAAGTTCTTTGACGACTTGTGGAAGGAGACTCGGCTTTTGCCTTGCTTGGCCCTTTGATAAGCTCCGCTCCGCACTTGTGCCGTAATAGGAGCGTTTTCACGAATCGCACCGAGAAGCATCATTGCGTCTTGTTATTGCTTTTGGGAGACGAGAATGTCTCCATGCGAGGCGCAGAAGGACTGGCTTGCGAAGGAGCTACAGGCATCCACTGCTGAGTGGCAGTGCCCTGGACACCTAAAAGCAATGGCTTTGAGGTTGAATCTTCATCATGGCAGCAACCAGCCCAAATCAAGCTTCACGCAGTTGCTGCCTTCACCAATTCAGAGGNNGTCCAGAAAAACTTTTGATTCCTCCGTTAGATCAGTTCCTGGCAATGCCACCAACAGAAGACTCAAGCTTAGGGTTTCGACAAGATGGCCTGAAGCAGCGTATCAATGAAACCAAGCCTGAAGAGCTCGAGATTCCCGACGAAGACGCAAACCTTAAAGCCCAAACCCTACAAACAATGAAAGCCCTAAGCCTTTTGCCCAGGATCATCGTAACCCACTATCCGCCGAACTTTGAGCCCTGCCGTTCTACCTGGGAGAGCTATCTCGCATCTTGCTTGACGGATCTGGGCTTCGGGGTTTTGGGGGGTTTGAAACTTAAGGGTGTGGGAGGTTTAGGGCTTAGGGTTTAGGGTCGGGTTTAAGGTTCGGGATTGAGCTTAGCGTTGTAGCGCTGGTCTTAGAGAACCCGTGGTTTTTAGGCCTTTGGGGTCTGAGTTGGCGTGTTTTGGGCTAGGCGGGCAGAAGGTTTGAGGCTCGCGAGGCGTCCTAGACCCTACGGGTCCATGTACTCATATAGGATATACATGGGCCCTAAAGTACCTATATAGGGACTACATTAAGGCCAATGTATATACTATATGAGCAGATGGACCCTGAAAGAGAGTAGGATGTGCTGCTTTGCATCCGACTGCGTTCCGAGGTCGAATATGGCGTCGACTTCTACGTCAGCGGCCACACCCACTTGCAGCACACCAACACGACTTTTGGGGAGACTGCTTTTGTGATTTCTGGAGGTGGCGGAGGCATCACCTCTGAAATCCTGCCTAGCAAAACAGGGGAGGATGATGGGTATGGCTTCATGGACGTCGTCATCCAGCACGATGCCATGTACATCACCAGATACTCTCATGGCATCTCGGCATCCAGCAAGTTTGTCACGATTTTGGGCAGTAGCTTGGGCGTCTTCAGTACAGTCACGAAAGGAGGGTTTGCATCAAAGCTGGATCTTAAGCTCAGGCGGTGTGGACAAGAAGACCATTGTCCGCGGTGTGACCAAGGTGAGCCCACGCAGCCCGAAGGCAGTTTCACAAGTCGCGAAGGTGGAGCCAGAAGTCGCGAAGGTGGTTGTTTGAAAGTTTATTGGTGCCCATGTCCGGCACTGGCGTGACGTCACGTTCGAGCTTCTGCACAGCTTGACAGGGCTTCCGCTTGGGAGGCAGTGGGAGGGGACAGCTTAGATGCGAACATGCTTGGTGTTGCACAGAAAACGAGAGCGGACGAGCTGCAGCTGCAGGGCCGGCTAGACATTTTTGTTGATAGCGTGTTTGAACACCGAGGTTTGTTTGATCACTTGGTGAGCGCTGCTCTGAGATCCAGCTTACATCTGGCCTGATAGACCCTGACCGGATGTAGGCCTNNCAAAAGAGGATCTATATAAGTTAGCCGTATTTTTACCGTGCCTGGACACCAGGATCTATTGTCATGTAGCATTCTGCAAGAGCTGCGTGAAGTCAGGAGCCAGATTTGGCCCGGAGTCTTTTGGTCAGAACACATTCTGGCCGTCTATTCAGCTCCACCACTGGCAGAGGCGTCTCACGGCGTGGAACACCCCGCCGGGCGGAAGAGAAATATCGCTTGCTTCCAGTGAGCCAGTATCGTCAATCCTTTTAAGGGTTTTGTGCCGGTGAGGAATCAGAGGAGCGAGCAGACAGCACCGAGACCCTTTCAATCCAACTTTTAGCGGCTCAACAGCCTGTTGAAAGGCTTCCTCCAAGTTTCCAGTATAGACCTTGAGCCGTCTATACCATGTTATCCCGCTGTTGCATCTCGCTACAACGGCTAGGGAGAAGTTGCAACAGGATTCCTGAGTAGCCACTGTATAGATATGCTTGTCCTGTAATATCGCAGTGCATTGGATTTCACAACCAGGTATAGATATGCTGATATGCTTTTCCTGTAATATCTCCGTGCATTGGATTTCACAACCAGGTACTGTAAAATCGCCTGTTTCTGCAGAACGCTCTCACACTCTTCTCCTTTGTGGCTTCTCCTGGCCCGGCCCGCATCGTTTTGATCATTCGAGCGAGCCATACCCACTGGTTCCTCGTGTGAATAGTTGGCTATGTTCTTGCTACAGTTATGCACGGTTCGAAACGTTTTTTTCTCTCTGAAATATTTCTGCATGCTTCTTGCTGCCACTATAGGATTACGGGCGTTACTGGATTGCGGCTGAAGGTCTCTCACCACCTGCAGCGCCGGATGTTTAGGTGGAACACTTGGCAGATTCGGGATTGCCGGAACAGGACTGGTCACAGACATCTCTGAAGAGTCGTGTCTTTGATGAGATTGGTGTTGTTTTTAATTTGCAGGTGTGGCATTTTGTTTCATGCGCTGACAGGCTCAAGCCTTGTCACATTGTACACTGGTAGCAAGCTCATTCCTTGGGCTGCCAGACGACATTGCCCCAAGGCCTACGATTTGTCAACGAATTCTGCTTGGCTGTGTACTCATTTCCAGCAAGTCCTACATGCCAAGATTCTTGCGCTTACAGCAACCGCTCACCAGTCGTAGTCGGCGTACCGCGAGATCAATACTGCCGTAGTGGTGGCAACCTGCATTGGCAACGACAGTACCGAAAGTCATCACCAACAGAAACATTAGCGTCATCACTAGCGTCAGCATCACCATCGCAAGTAGGAACGAGCTTAGGCCGTGTGTCTATTCAGATCCACATTGCAGTTGCATGTCGGGTCCTGACGCGCAATGCCTCGAGTCCAAATGCCTGCGGCACGAACATGTCGTACTTGCTTAGTGGTGGCTCGGCGGGTTAAGGGTCTTGAGAGCTCGCGGCCAAGATCCCGAAGGCTCTTTCGCCTAGGATGCTTTCAAGAACTGGCAGAACCCATCTGTGAAGACTAAGGACGAATCGAAGATACTGCGTCGATCCCGGCAGCAGAGGTGACATTTGATGGCAGCACCTCCACTGCGACTTGGTCCTTGGAACAGGAGTCCAATAATTATGAGCTGTGTAGAGTGATATGCTAATTAAGGAAGTCCCACATCTGTCCCAGACAGCGGGCCGTGCCTGTTGCATTCCTGGCAGGCCACATAGGTCACCAACCATTGCTTTCCCGCGTCCTGTCGGGGCAGTCCGCCGACGCTTGAGTGGCTTGTGAAAAACTGCAGTGGCACGAATCCCTAAACCTTAAACCCTATACACCCTAAACCCTACACCCTAAAACCTAAACCCTAAACGCTGTGTCAAAGCTCGAGAAGAGCCGAGGTGGGAGGACCTGGGCTTCGATGGGCAGACAGTGGCGACCTCATCTGTGATTGAAGACAGATACGGCGCTAGAGTCATATTGTGCTGGACTCCCTTTCTTGGTTTATAGATGCCCATTAGCAAAGCTGAGTAAAACATCCATGTCTGCACGACTGAACCACATTAGAGACCCAAAACCGAAATAACAACGGCAACGCCATTATTGAGGCTAGCAGCATCGACAACATTCGACAACGAGACTGCAACTTTATGAGAACAATGCTGCACAATTTCACCCCCCACCCCCACCCCCACCCGCACTGTTACCGCCACCCCCACCACCACCGCCGCCACCGCCACCACCACCACCACCACCACCACCACCACCACCACCACCACCACCATCACCATCACCATCATCACCACCATCACCACCATCACCACCATCACCACCATCACCACCATCACCACCATCACCACCATCACCACTACCACAATCACCACTATCACCACATAATGGCTA